CATATTTTCATGATTCATGACAACTCAGTGCTGTCCGATAAATCGAGTAGAATAAGGGCTATCGCACACAAATTGACATAACTGCATATGCATAGCATAAGATCGTATGGACCAATGAGCATCGAATATTAAGCATCGAACACCAATATGGCGACTTAATACTCGATGCTCATTGGTACATACGGTCTTATGCTATGCATATGCAGTATGTCAATTTGTGTGCGATAGCCCTTAGGGTAGATATGTATATAGCGTATATATACATATAGTATAGTATAGGTAGTATATAGCGGATAGTATATGTATAAGAATTAACAGTATCAGGTAACATAGTTTCGTAAAATATATAACAATAATATTACGAAACAATGAGTTGTTACATGAGTTGTTTTAGAAAAATTAGAAGCACTAAATTAAATTATGAAAAGATATCATGTATTTGTGAAATATCCAAAAGTAGGAAACAATTCTTCTAACCTATTATTAACCTATTATTATTGAATATTTCACAAATATATGATACCTTTTCATAATTTAATTTAGTGCTTCTAATTTTTCTAAAATATAATAAATCATTGTTTCGTAATATTATTATTACATATTTTACGAAACTATGTGATCTAATACTGTTAATTCTTATACATATACTATACGCTATAGTACCCTAAGGGCTATCGCACACAAATTGACATAACTGTATATGCATAGCATAAGACCGTATGTACCAATGAGCATCGAGTATTAAGTCGCCATATTGGTGTTCGATGCTTAATATTCGATGCTCATTGGTCCATACGATCTTATGCTATGCATATGCAGTTATGTCAATTTGTGTGCGATAGCCCTAACTCTACTCGATTTATCGGACGGCATTGAGTTGTCATAAATCATGAAAATACTAGATGCTTGTGCCTATCATATTTCTCGGCCCTAGTGAAACTAACTCGTACTAACTCCAACTCGAATTATCGTAAACATCCGTTATGTCTGTTCAGACTGTGGAGATTGAGGATTACATTCTTCAATTCATAAGGACACACAGAAAAACTTAAGCAGTAAGACGTAAGCAGTAAGCAAATTGACCAATCACAGTTGTTGATTCTTCTTATGGTTCCTGCACACAGGACGAAGTAATGCTTGCCGCGCGACGGAAGTTCGCACGACAGCCAATCAATATGCTGCTTTCCGTAATAACCTTCTAGCTCTTACGGAAAAACAACATATTGATTGGCTGTCGCGCGGATTTCCGCCCCGCGGCAAGCATTACCGCGTCCTGTGTACAGGAGCCATTACGGTCCAATAATCACCGACTGTGATTAGCTAATTCGCTTAATGCTTATGACTTACTGTTTAAGTTTTTCTATGTGCCACCAGTTTAAGGCCTGTTCTTTGTAACTGTACTGCTGAACTAGTGCAATAAGTTAGAGTGCGAAAACGTATATTTGTCTCACTTCAATATATTGCACC